TAACAATTTCAATATTTTCATTCATTAGAAACCTACAATTTTTAAACTATTGATAATATATAAGGAAGTCATATATAGGCAACTGTGTAAATAGCACAAAATATTACAAAAATTTTATTCTTTTTATGCAAAATAAACATTAATTAAGAACAACTTTCTTCGCAATGTTGTTCTATGGATACAATGATGACTATGCATTGTCTCAATATAGAACTTACTTCCATATACATATATTGGGATTTGTGTGGTCATTTGAATTATTATAATAAATAGAATACAAGTATCGTTCTACAAAAGAATGGTTTCTTCAGCACGATGATTCTAAGAAATTACTTAGTGTGGTTAATGAAGGAATCTTTTAGAAATTGGTTTAAAGGGACACACGTAGATGCTCGAAGCTGGTGCCCTCATTATTAAGAATGATTTTAAAATATAATTCATAATGGACTTTTGAATTAAATAATATAAATATAAAGCATAGCAATGGATTGTGACACATGCACTTTTAACATTTAATTATGTAATTAAATATCAATCTCAGCAAATAGCAATCAGTATTACATATAATTCCACAAACTATGCTGCTACAAAAACATGAATAGTTAGAAATATAATTATGATTTTATGATGCTTGATTTTTGTATGATAGTCCCCAAAACAAATGTGTTCGAGTATGCATGGCCATGAAATCAAAATAATGAATGAATCTCTAAAAAAAAACAACACGGGACAGTGTTAATCACACTAATTGCTTTACGAGAACAGCGACTATTTATGTTTCTTCTAAAAATAAATAATTTAGTCAAATTCATAAGGAAAATATTTACATCCAACAGCCTGAGAAAGTAAAATATGCATATGTAAGTGTATATAATATATATTTAGACAACCGATTTTTAATTTCATGAGTACAGCATTTTATACCCAATAGATTAATATTACAAAAACCTTTATAAATTTATTTTTCTGCTTGTCTGAAAATATTATGAAAGCCATTTATTTCAACCAGTATCTACGCGAAGCACATGAACCGATCCATATGTTCGCTCGAAGCGTTTCTTTTTGCAACAGGAGTATTTCGTAAGTGCAGATTTATGATACTTCACTGTCGATAAACAAGATTGGCTTGTGCGCCTTTTGCTATCAGCAAAATGTAACATTCGACTGAGAAAAATCTTTCCAAGTACTGACAAATGTTACGTGTTTAGTGACCGATTTATAACGGAGCGTCGACGTTTGCAAACTTTCATACTTGACAGAAAATTGAATGCCGCCATCCGGCCCAAACGCGATCATCGAATTGAAAGGATTCCGGGGAGATCACTTGAAGTTTTAGCTTATTTTTAGTTTAGAAAATAGTTCAAAGTTACCTAACCCGCATTCAATACATGTACGATCAGTCATTCTTTTGAATATTTTATTCAACAATTTATTAATATCATTTTAAGATATGACTTTAAAAGCGACTGGACCTGATGCCAAGCAGTGGAAACATCGGTTTTCTCTTAGAAATATAGGCAGCTAGCGGATAAATGCATATCTATAAATATTTGCAATTTTGCAGAAAATGTAATAAAATTTACCATACAATAATAAGACAACTGTTTGAGCTGCCATCTGTATGGAATAGGCTTGTCAAAAATACCCTTACAGATTAAATGACTCCCAAGTTCCCATCGCTATTAAAAAACAGTAAAAAAGAATTAAAAAATAATATCAATATGTACCGAATATAATTGTCTATTAGAACTTATCTAATTAATTATAAATTAGTCCCATTAACTAGAAAAGAAATGTTGCCTGTTTTACATAAAAATAATTAGATCTTTGATATAATAATTAGATATTTTGTACTGCTTACATAAGTTGCCCATCATACATGACTTATTCGTCATTATTTATTATCAACAGGTTTCAAAATATATGTACGTTCTTTATAATGTATTTACAATTATAATTTATTTTTGCTTTATTCATTCCATATTATACAACAATCGGAGCAATCTTACTAAATTACGCTTAAATAAATAATCAAAGAAGGAGATAAAGGCCAAAAAACAAAAATAAATAACAAATTAAGGAAATTAAATTTATGAAGCTTAGCATAATTGCTTATAGAAATTTATAATTTTTGATTGCTGTTAATAAATACATAAAAAAAATATGAAAAATAAAAAAGAACACATGGTTGAGACTGCTTTGATAACCACTTGACTATGGGATACAAATAGTTCACATTGAGTATATATAGGCTGTTTTTTTTTTTTAGAAGTCTTCTTGTAAGCGGATTATCAAGCAAATATCATCCACTATAAAAGGATGTTTTAGAAAGGGATTATAAATTATAGAAATAAAATCTAATTTTATTGATTTTTCTTGGGTTTTTGCACAAAGCATATAATCATATATCACCAAGTATTGAATGCTCTAAAATTATTTAGAGTCTAAATCGAACAACAAAACTTGAATAATAATAACTATTAAGGTTCCTTACAGTGACTTCAATAAATTGATTGTATTGTTGATATACCTAGAAGAAAATATAAAAATCCCATTTCAGGCACTGTGGTGTAAAATGGCAATGGAAAATCCCCATAATTTTTTCATTAATCAAGTTGAAGTTTAACTCACCTCATGAACCTGCCCTAGGGCAGCACTGCCCATTAGTATTTAACATTATGTAAGCAGTTTATATGATTTATAAAAAAATCTGTTGCATTTCAACAAAAAATTATATATTCCAGTTTATGAATTTAATAGCATAGCTATCAATGATAATAGTAATAAAATCGTTTTCCTGATGTATGTTGCTGAACTAAACCCCAACCCCAGTAACTGGATGTTCCGTGAAAGAAATTCTGTTATGTTCATCTAAGAATTGTTCTTTAATAAGAATTCTCAATATTCTACCATAACTAGCTTTCGCAGAACTAAGTACTCATATAAAATATTTATAACTATATCTATATTGAAAATATCTCCGACAATGCACAAAGGCAAAATATTGACACAGTTGTCTGCTTATTAAGATCGTTGCATAGAAACTAAAGAAGAATGTATTTCGAAGCATCAGTGAATATGAAAGTATAAAATACTACAAAGTTATCTTAGAGATGGTATCTCGAAGCTCATAAGACGAGATCCGCGAGCTCGGGTAATTGGATGTAATAATAGCAAAGAAACGCCGGCTACTCGAATGCTTGCTAAATAAGAAATAAGTCGGTTTATTTTATATAAAATACAATAAGTAACAATAAGTTGAATTATCAATACCAAGGAATATACAGCCATCTAATAATAAATGATTATGTATAGGATATAAAAATAATGTAATATGGGTAAATGATCTACAAACTAAGCAAGTAGAGGTTGGGTAGAAAAATGTTAATACTAATTTGAGAGAGTTTTAATGAAAATTGCACAATAAATAGAAATAATTTTTAATTATTTATACGATTCAAATGAATAAAACAAATAAATATGTTTATATATTTGGCTACAAAAATATCAGAATATATGGACAGATTTTAATAAAAAAAACTAAGGATTGACAAAATCATAGTGATGAGAAAAAGGAACAAATACAGTTATCAACCGTCGCATGAGCCAAAATTGCTCAATAAACAGAAATAATTTTTATTATTTATTTGACATAAATAAATAAAACAAAAATATATTTTTATATATTTGGCTACAAATATATCAGAACATGGACAGATTTTAATAAAAAAAAACTAAGGATTGAAGAAATCATAGTGATGAGAAAATGAAACAAAGTGAAGAATTATCAACCGTTGCAAGAGCCTGTAAACAGAGCTAGTCTGATAGATGGAACGGGCTAGAGGTCAAATAAAAATGGTAAAAAATACAATTTTTTTATTATTTCCATAAGTATCGATTTCGACATATTTGACGTCACCTTCAGTGAAATATTGTGATGTTACTAATTAGCTAATCATAATAATTCATAATAACACTACTACACTTTAGATTTATTGTCTATATGACACTACTACCCTTTACATTTATTGTCCGTCATTTTTTTTAACTGTGTTTTATTCAGTAATCAGAAAAACATAAGGATTCTTATAAGCTAAATTGACAATATTTGAGAGCGATGTCTCCAATGAGATCTTCTTAGTTTAACAATTGAAAAGATAATGTTATATAGAAGCTAATCTAAGACTAAATCTAAAGGCCATTGACGTTTCAATTTTCTTACGCCAAATGGTTGGGAAATGTCGCCTATTAATGGGTCAAAACATGTAAAAAATTAGATTAAATTGTTTTTAGTAGTATCAGTACTGTTATTGTAAATAATAATAATAAATATTATTATTGCTGTAAGTTAATTAGATCTTACATTCCACTGAACAATATACAAAATAAAATGTAGAAATTTATGGAAATAAGGAAAATTTTGTAAATTTATACAATTTTTATTTAATGAATTGCCCTAAAGATTGTGATACTCATATTTGAACATATATATATATATATATATATATATATATTAAATTAGTAATGATTGGGAGAAGTGTTTATTAGTTTTTGGCAAAGGCAGGCCTAGCCATTTCAAATATACGGAGCTAAATGTGTAAAAAATGGCAGTTTTTGAGAGAACTAAGCGTCCGATTCAAATGATTCAAAGAACTTTCTGCTTGTCTTAACAAAATAAATGATTTTGGGGGAAAAAAAATTGTTTCAACTATTTTTTTTTTAAATTTTAAAAAAAAAATTTTTTTTTTGTACATCGAAAATAATTCAGATTTTATTTTTAATTCTGATTGTAGCACTAATATACTTTAAACAAATAATTTCAACTTTGCAATTCAGTTTATATAATTTATATAAAACATTTTGCATGAAACAGAAATTACAGGCAGTCTAGTGCATTAGAGTCACATGAATATTAAGATCACCACATAAAAACACTTGAAACTTATAAAATTCAAACCATCAATGTCATTAAAACATTTTATTATACATATAAAATTTACCTTTTAATTATGATAATCCATCTAATAAAAATAAACAAAAGTACGAATGAACACTTTCCCCAAAAGGAAGCACTCGCGATAGTCACTGTTAAGATATAAAATCACTAGCAGGCACCATACAATCGTAAAAACCCGCGCGTAAACTGACTGACGAGGAACGTACTCCAACCGTACTTCTGCACGGCTTGCCGGTTAGCAATGTACTGAAGCCGAAGCGGAGGTTTGGTTTCGAACCCACCGGTAGAGGCAGCGCCAGCCGTAGCCGAAGCCGATTCCGTACGAAGCTACGGCCTTGCGATTGCGCAACCGGCGTTTAAGATCAAACTACCTGTCTGCACATTTTGACATTTGCACTTATGGGATAATTTTTTTTTTTCAAATTTTAATACTAATTATTTTTCCTTTTTTTATCTTACATACTACATATATTTTACTTTTTCTTTACTATTTCTTCCTAGGGCAGGTCCGTGGGTTGAGTTGAAAATGCACTCAAATCATGGTTGCACGATGTCAGATCTCTTACATTTTCCTGTTGTATAGGGATACAACTCGACTTCCTTTGTATTTCAAAGCGATACAATCTTAATACCCCTTTACTTCCAAGTGGCATATTGCATACATTATTTCATTTATTTATTTATTTATTTTAAATATATAGCCCACAGATTTGTTCCAAGAGGACTAAAAATACAATTATTTTACATAATGAATAACAATTAAAATATATACAAAATTACAATATATAGTTATTAACATAAAATGATTAACATAAAATTACATATAATGCAGAATGTAACAATATTATTTATAAACGGAATAAGATAAAATAATGAGATATTTGAAAAGAATATAAAAAGGTTAACTTGTGCAGATGGAGATTATTTCATTAGGTGGAGTGTTGTGAATATCTATTTCATTATTAATTAAGTTAAAGTTAGAGGACATAAGTAAAATAGGCGAATTTCAGAGAAAAATAATTGTGAACGCGTAGATAGCCTTGGAACATTAAAGGATTAGTTGGTTAAGAATAAAAGGACAGCCTATAGAATTATTGCAAAGTTTAAATAAGAACATAATTGTACAGATAAATCGACGTGAGGCAAGGGAAGGAATGCCAAATTCTTTTATTAAAGTGTTGTGGTCAAAGCCACGTTCAGGGTAAATTTTATATGTTTTGTAATAAAGATATTTCAGAAAATTTCGCTGAACCTTCTCTATCGCATCAGAGTTGTTGATTTGATGAGGATACCAAATAATCGAACCATATTCTAATTTTGAACGTACAATACAATAGACATGCAAAGAAGTGCATTGTTAGAATTGAATTGTTTACAATTTCTCAGTATCAAACCTAAAGATTTATATGCTCTATTACAAATATCATCAGTTATATGATCCGTGAAAAACAAACCAGAATCAAATAAAACTCATAAATTTGAAATTTTATAATTGGAACGCGCTTATGTGAAAAACTAAGAATCTTGCTCTTTGATATATTTAAATGTAAATTGTTATAGACAAAACATATCAATTATGATATGTTCTATAAGCTTAACTAAACACTGCTCATTACTGACAATATAATCATATATTACAATAACTTATAAGAACGTTGTAGTAAGTAGGCGAATTCATAAACGTCCTTATAGTTTTTTTTTAACCTGAACGCAATTAAAAGACAAACCCTATGCTATTCCGATAAAAATTTTAACTTACTAATCTCTTTACTATTTTATTACGTGAGGTTCAAAGTAGAATGCATTAGTTAAAGTTTATTCTATTAACTTACTAAATAAAACTATATAACACAATAAAACGTAAAAAAATGAAATAAAACATTTAACATTGGCTATGCACAAATGGAAATATACTAGTTATAACATTTTTTTACTAATGATAAGATTATGACTAGGTTCTCAATATAATACTGAACTTATTTACAAATTTCGACGCTATAGACTAATGTATTGTATTTGATATGGATTGAATGTTTGCAAAATCATTACACAACAAAAATGAAATCAAACGCTACTTGCGTACTATTTACTTATCAGAAGTTTGTTTAAACATGGATGCATATCGCAATATACATTTCTAAAGGAATTTTAGAATAAAGTTTATTTTCAAACGAGTGTTAATTTTTCAGTACTTAGTAATTGATCACAATAACAAAATACTAAAATCATAACCGTATAGTAAAATATTTGTTGTAGCTTAATTATTTCACTGTAAGTAATTGAACGCTGATCATTATATAATTGGAGCAAATTAGTTCCAAGTTACATTAATTATGCCATACAAAAACAAAAGAATAAGTGTACAAAAAATATCGATGTCTAATAAAATCACCGTTGAACTACAAAGTGTTGAATTTTAATTAAAACTGCTTAATTATTCATGAAAATGCTCTCCAATAATACTACCAAAATATTGCAAAAGTAAAATCAAAATAATCAAGATATTAAGTGATTGAGTAATTAGTTAAAAATAGTTACTACTTTTAATAAGAAAACAATAATTTACTATCTATTTATGTATTTCTCATCTAATTTTTATTTTGTAATGAACAATCTAATTTTGTACAATTTATGAAAAATTATTAATAAACTTTTATTGTTTAATAATTAACTATTAGAATATACATGTTCTTGGTGTATTGTGTTGGAGATTGCAGCTACACAGGCGTCAAATACTATTGAACATAGTAGGTGGATTAGTCCATTTGTTTATGGATTGTTGTGGTGTTTTAGTAATTAAAAAAAATGGGAAAAAAATTTTGGGAAAAAAACAATATAGAAAAAAAGATGTTGGGGAAAAATATAAATAATTTTTTTTTTGTCAAAGCAGATTCGGTGTGGCCTGTGTTGGCGTATTGCTAGAGTGCAATGTAAAGTAGAATGCAAACGGTAAAAAGCAAAGTGTACACAATAGTCTTTGGATATGCGATTTTGAATAGTTTTTGGATTGCTATACATTTCAAACAAATCCATTCACTTTTGGTGAATATAAGTGGATTTTACAAAGTTTAAATTTAAAGTTTTAATTTTGCGCTCTAAATTATACTAATGACGACAAATATTTTGACACATGTTGGTAACTTCAAATACATGAATTGTCAAATAGATTTTCGTGAATTAACATGGGGTCGCGTTAATTAAGAGTTTTTAATTAAATCCTTGATTAGATTTTGTTAATTTATGCATCAAAACGCGTGTAATTAATTTAGTAGATCATTTGGATATAATAAATTTATCGTGAAACGTTAATTAAAAGCCGAAAAAATGGATATGTGTAGAAGTGCCTAGGTTTACGGTGTACCTTGAATAGCTTGATAAGTATCTCAATTTTGATTCAATTTTATAATTAAACAATTCATTTACAGCGCCAATGTATCCTTTAATTATATACATGCAATTATCAATAGTATAATTTATATATGTGCTTTTGTAGGTAATATTTGAGAACTTCCACCACATATCTGTTTTTATCGAATTCTAAATTCACGAAAGTCTCTAATATAAGTTTTGTGTCGTGTATTGTGTAAAGACTTTACTCGGACAATTGCAACATGTCAAATAAACTTGTAAAAGACTAAAGTTATGTAGTGGTTCTATGGTAGTGATTTTGTGTCGAGTACTTGAGATTTCTGGAAGATGATCCAGTGGTGCTTGAAGACCTGGAAATGTGTTCTGACAGATGCTGCAGAGAATTTCTAACAATGTAAGTGCAAAGCATGTTTTATACAAAGCTAGTCAAAGAAAATTCTTCTGGAATTAGATACAGGCATTTATCATACCATATCTGCAGGGCCGTGCTTGGTCAGCGTGCATTCGCTGCCGTATTGAAAGTCCGCTGTATATATCTAAAACACCACCGTAGTAAAAATCAGCCAAAGGCGGCCGTATTTAATGCGAGATCGAATCAAAAACGGGCAACTCTAACCTCTGTTTACAAATAATTTTTAAGTGTATAAACTTGGTGTAAGTGGCAAGTTGCGTGAACTCTCCAACATGTGTTAATAATCCACTTAAATATAAAAAATATATTAATTCAATAGTACATTGCAATGTGAAAAACTATCGCAATTCTTGCCTGTTCATGTTTGTTCGTTAGGTGTGAATGCCCCTTCATGTGCATTCATACCATAGAACACCTTTTGACATTTTTGTACCTGATATTTGGTCAACAGCCCATAAGTTCGTTGCATTTACGTTTATGTTAACTTATCTATGGTTCGTTGTGCAACCTATGAGTGATTCTAGTAACTTGATATCAAAAGGGTATTAATGTAAGTTTTGTTATCGACTTTTATATTTTAGGCATGTTTGATTATATAATAGCTGTCTAGGAACACGTTTGAGCTGACTCCTGCGTCGCGCCAATTTTTGAACGAGGTGTCAATGTAATACATTTCATTTCGCCCGTATTACTCCTACTTCAAGTTGTATTTTTTGGTCTCCATACAGCACGATAAAAATGGTGCGATTTGTACCAACTCTGAGTCTCTCATAGCACAGTTCCCATATTGCACTATGTAAGGTTCTATAGAACGCACTACGAATCAGCCTGAATTGTATGTTAAATACTAGTTTTTAATAGCACGGTCTCCATACTGCACGGTACGCACTTGCCGCGTAAAGCGAGGGTTTACTGTAAAATAATAGAAGGGAATTGGCCATGGGGAGTTATCTCCGAACAAATGCTTATCTATGGAATTGGCAAAGCGGGCGCTGAGGATCCCTACTAAGAAAAATGTAATTTAGATATTATAATTACTAAATATCTATTAAAATATAATACGAAATTATAAAAATAGTAGGCAACATTATTGGAACAATTAGAAAAAATCCAAAGTAGTATTGTATTTTTACCGCGGATATTATATATTATTTTTTTCTGAATTTGTTGTACCGTTTAAAAGACTTAAATTTCCAATTTAGTGTAGAAATTGAGACTCATCATTTTATTTGTAGCAGTTAAGAACATTTAACATCACTCATATTGATGTATATGCATTTTGGTGTGAAGAGTAATGTAAAAAACATACTTATTATTTTTAGGTAAACTGTAAATATTAATAAAGGATTGTAAAAAATTGTAGACGTGGTGGGTA